GAGTGAACCAATTATAGGGTCGGCCGGTAAGCACGGGTTGGTATTAATGAATTTTCGTGAAATGCACCCATAAATATATGTACACGGTCTGATGTGGGCGTATCGCGAGTTAATTCGCCGATACCACGCCGCCGCGTACCTGTCATAAAATACTTACTATTTTAAGAGTACCCCACGACCGCTAACGAGCCGTGCACGAAGGATATCGATTATATTTTAAGTTATTACCGGGTAAATACGGGTAATTCGTGTCCGTACATTGTAAGTGGACAATAGTGATCGCCTTGCACAATTTGCGTAATGGGCGATGCTCGTAATACGACGATAAGTGCGGAGCAGTTGTTTCAGTCGATGCCCGCCATTTGCGCGGGCTGCGTTTATTTTTAAAAGATTCCTTTCAACAGGCAAAGATGGCTAATTACATTATGCCAGTCGTTAATATCGAATGCCGTTAAATTTCGTTAAATGAAACTGTTTTACGGATTTTATCGCGTTTCAGGTTTTAAGTTTCCAACGTTTCGAACACTTTCTAACGTTCATGGTCACGGGAGTCATGGTCATGGCCGCAATTAAAACGCGATAATATCCGTGAAAGGGTGTCATTCAACATTGTATAATATTCGCGTGAAACATTATTGATATATCAATCTTTTCTTTATAAATTTCATTATAACAATAATTATCATCATTACGTATACATATTCGTGTATATCGCGTGAAAACAAGAAATCCGTTTAATCTTATTAGAGGTTATACTTAAGCATGATGTTCGTTTATAGAAGATATTTATTTTGGCCAAAAGAAAAAAATAATTAAAATAATAACAAAAGAGAAATCTACACATTAAACAATCGAGTTTATTAGGAACAGAAAAATATTTCAAAACATAACACATTTATAGCAGATTTAAATCGCAAAATCTTAGATAGTACCTACCAGCTTTGCTTACACCATTAGGGCTTAAAGATACATTGTGTATTCAAAGCCATATTCATTTTTATGTATTTAAATGCAACGGGAAAATGTGTGGCTGAAGCAATCAATACAGTGTCGTGCTCGGAGAATGATATTTCCGTCTATAAAGAATCGTGTAGCTTAACACTTTCGAAGAACAAACATTATTTCCGAACGATAAAGTAGCGTAACTTCCAACTTTAACAAATCTATTTGAAGCAAAAGAAACTGGCAAAAGCAATAAAAGCGAAATAATAGTTATGGAAATGGTCTTTCATTTTCCACCAAAGAAAACTCCGCGAAACTACCGACAATATGAATGAAACTATAATATTAGAAAAGTTTCGTCGCGGGAAATGAGAAAGCTGCACGTACTCGTTCGTCTAATACACGTAGTTATAAACTTGTTCAATATAATATCGAGTGGGGTGGTGCCGTCTCGCTCGCACCCGCCCCTCTTTAACTGCCCGCGTTTAATTGCAAATTCAGCTGAGTTATGGTACCCGGACCGCCTATGCTAAATAACGTTGCTATTTTAAACTATGATATATTAGCACCGGCTACTGCGACTGTATAGACGTCTTCCGGTTAGTACGAGATAACTCACCTTTATCACCGCAACGTGGTGTGTTACTGATGCTATTGTGCCGTAAATCCCTAAAATTTTAGCAATTAACTAATAGGAAAGTAAGTAAAAAAATTAAATACTTAAGTAAATTTTAATGGATTAATTTACAAACATGCATTAATTAGAGGATAAATGCAACCTTCAATCACAAAATCTGGCGTTTTAACTGTCTAACTTATAAAAAAACTTTACATATTATTATAGGCCAACACTTTAAAACGAACCTAAAAGGCCTTAATTTCATCAATAGTCATAATCTTTGTTCTGTAAAATGATTACACTGAAATTACAATAGCGGGTCCACACAGCTTCTGATTTTTTTCTGAAAAGGTGATAGGCGTGCTCACGGTTCTCCTGACGTGAAGTGATAACCCCCGATTGAGATTTGCAATACCCGTGAGGAGGCATATGCATTGCCTCATGGAATACCAAAGAAGCCGAGGGCGGCCGAAAGAAAGGCGTAAATTGGAGATTATACTATTTCGCCTTTCTTTCGGCCGCCCTTCGGTTAGGTTCACGAAGTCAACTCTTTTAATGGTTGGAAATGCTCCAGCAACCCCAGGTCTTTAAAAATAGGAAAACAACTAAATGCTCTCTAAATTATGTGAAGATGTTTGAAAAATCATTACAACATTAAAGTAGAGAAACAGCATTATACAATTATATTGATATGTGTATTACCGATTCGGCTTAGGTACTTTACGTAATTCCTATTAATTTATTGTTTTTACGCGAATATTAAACATTTGCAACATTGGTACTGATAAAAAAAAATCCAGCAGAAAAGTAGTTTAATGTAACCATAATTTCTGTTCCTTTCTAATGACAGGCAACACATTTGCGACTCCTCTGATGTTATGAAGGACTATGTATGGGTGCCAGTGATTGCAAATCACTGGTACACCACTTGCGTTTGCCAACACTGTCACCAGGAATAATATGTAATATATAAGTTCGAAGTTACCTTACGAACCGCCGTTTAGTTCAAACTCAAAATAAGAGCCCATACATGTCCCATTGCTGGGCAAAGGCCTCCTCTTTACAGAGTGTATCCAAACCAACCGCTGTACTAATAACTTGTTTAGACTGTAATTTTAGACCTCAAAAGCGAACCGATAAGCGGATTGTCGCATATCCACTGATCCGCGTTCATAAAACAATGTTCTATTTACAATAAACGTAAAATGTATAAACGAGCTCGAACCGCTCGAACTTTAGCATGCAAATCGGTCTGGATGCTCTCGCAGTTAGAGCACCTAAAAATACGCTAGGTACGTGCCGCAAGCGATTGTTATGATAATACGGGCTGCAATAGACGTAGGAGCGATGAAATATTGGGCCCCTTTGCATAAGCACAGCGACGTAACTCGGGCGAGACGCTTCTACGGCGCGCTACGCCGCTACGGGCGGAACTCGTAGCCATTTAATTGCTCATTAAGGGTGATTCTAACGCAAATACGCCAAGCGAATTAACATTATTGGAGTGCAATAAACATATCAGACTTATTACTGTTATCTTTGAGTTTCTACAATTTTATTCATACTACCTTACGTAGTTCAAAGCTCTATTATGCTCATTATTAAAATTTTGCTTTTAGTAGCAGAAATCAGCCGTCCAAAAGCCTACACAGACCAGAAGAGTGGAACGTTGAACAATAATAAAAAATTGCCGGTTGTTTTCAGTTGTCTATTATTTATTAAGCTGACTACTTTTTTTTCGGTTACGATTCGAATTGTGTCCGAGTCAATTCGAAATCGATCACAATGACATTATAGAAATAAGCATACCTACATGTGTTTAATAAGTTGTTAAAAATAGATCTTCTGCTGAACATTCGTCCTTTAATCGATTTCGACTTTAGCACCTGCCATTGCCAGCCGACTACGGTTAACAATTACAAAAGAAAGAGAGAGAAAAATATATTTCAATGAAAAACTAACTGTTCTCCTAATTTGAAATCACACCATTGACCATGGACTTAAATTACCATTTTGTTTAATTGCATTTTTTAATTAAGTTTAAAATAAGCGTTTCGTTTCGTGATAGCTCAGTCTCCGGGCGCGCGCTTTTAATTCAATATACTCCAGCAACCAGAGTTCAAATTCCAGTGCCGGCACCAATGAAATTGTTAATTTTACTTATCGCTTGCTTGGCACTGAGGAAATCGTGAGAAAACCTGCATAAATATTTGAAATAATAACAAGGATATATCGCCAGTGGGGTCGCGTGGTGGAATATGCTCTAATACCCTCTGTACAGAGGAGGCCTTTGCCCAGCAGGGATATTTATATAGGCTGTCACTTTACTTTTAAGTGTTTCGAATACTTTGCAGCATTTATGGTGTCGAGTTGGTTTACTTAAGTATAATGTTCACATAAGTAAGAATCGTGGTTTATGTTTAAGTTTAACTTATTAGTTATCGTGGAAAGTTTAACAAATTATGTGTATGTATGTGTTGCTTATAGTAAATTATTAATATTAGTAATAAATCTTTGCATCATACTGCACTACAGTGCACTACTATTACTAATACTACTCATGTGCTATCGTAGTGTCTCGTTATTTATTATATAAAAGCTGCCAAACAGGTCATACTCCCAGTCGATTAAAAACATCAAAAGCACCACTTTTTTGCAATATTACGCGCGCTTAAATCGACAAGGAACGTATTTTATTGCCAAGTATCCCCAATTTACGTTTATGTTCACTCCGCCCGGCTGATATGATAATGCATATACGGACTTATCTCTACCATTCTTCGTATACGATATGAGCTTCGGTTGCTAGACAAGGACGGCGCGTTGCACGCGACAGCTTTCAATAGGTGCGAGTGGGACGACAACAGTTCTCCGCGTACGGTGCATACAATGTATTAGAGTTACCTTCGGTCCGTATTGAAAATGTAGAGTCGAATTCGTTACGACAGAATGACTTGTGTATAATTGTGCCGGAGTATAATTTTTTAACGTTCACATCGCTGTTGTTATCGTATAAAGCATAGACTTCACATTGGAAGTAATCATTTATTACTAAGGTTTCTAATTGGTCTTGCAAATCGATTAGAATGAAATATGTATGATAGTTATAAATATGTACTGTAAAAATTATGTAATGTTTAAATGTAGGGTTTTAAACAGTGCATTTTACATCATGTTTCTATATTTAAAAATTGTTCAAATTATATTTTAAGCTTGTGAAATTATGAGTAGTAAAACTTATCATATGTGTATACGTGCATATACATACATACACATATCCATATATGTACTTCTATTTTTTAATATTGACCAAAAGTTACTCAATCTTTTTCCTAAAATAAAGGCATAAAAGCCATCAAAAGGCGAAGCTCTCCAGTATCTCAAATTTGTAATTTGTTTATCAAACGTCAGTCTATGTATCTGTATGTAGAGGAACTCAGCGGGGGCGTGGGGGGGGGGGGTGGGGGTGTCGGGAGGGGGGGAGGTCGACGCTTGCCGCGCTCGCTACGTCCGTCACACGGGCACCAGTCACGTGCGACGACGCCGCCTCTCCGCGCGCTTTATGCAAGACATCGATATCGATCCGCCGCAATCGATTGCCGATCGCCGACTGCACATCACTCGGGCCGGGTTTCCCGCGCGAAATACGAATCGCGCGAGTCGAGTGCGCTTGTGTTCCTTTTTGTTTTTTTTTTTCTTCGATTTTGGTTGTGCCACAGATCTTGGATTTTCGTCTTTCGCGCCCGCCCGCCAAGGTAACCGTGAACTCACTACTCTCCACCAGTTAAGTGCCGCTCGGATCGGAACGTCCGTTGCGTAAGAAATATGTAATGTGCCAGTATTAAATCTCGCGGACATTGATGGAAAGGTCAATACACCCCGCGGCACGCGAGTTAGACGCAACGAATGAATGTGGCACGGTGATTGCGAGTCGATCTCCGTCTTGATTGGTGATATGCACAGCACTAGTTTAAAGAATGTTACCTGGCGCTCTTTTTTTATAATTTCTATTAAATGTCAATGGCCAGTAGAAATATGAGTAAAATTATTACTGACATTTTATTGAAATAAACAGGTAACATTTTAAATTATTTCAAGAGTTTATGAATAGGGCACTCGAAATCCCGCCTCTGCTAGATATTTATAATTTTAACATAAATTATCATTTATGTTCCATTCTGTAATCATAAAATGCTAATATTATTCAAATTTGGCCATTAAAGCGACGTGGGAGGATAATACACGGACGAAGTAATTACTCCTATTTGTTGTTTTAGTTAGTAATGTGAAAACACTTTTAGTTATAATTTCATTTAAATAACCACATTAATAAGGCTAATTAAGTAAAAATAATGATATATCGACTGAATTAACTGTACAGGTATTATATATATTATTTTTATCAAATATATCGTTTGATTAAAATTAAATCAATTGTTAGGCTATCATACAACTTTATATTATAATGAGTTTAGATCTATCCACTACTATCGATCTATACACTACAAACCATCGCAGTCTTTCTAGAATAAATTTTTATTAATATTCAAATATCACCAGCACATTTGAAAGAAGGCAACGTCACAACGAAATGTTTTTTTGTATGAAAGATGTATGAGCTATATATTTCAGAGCGTGGGAACTTTACATTCTATAACAAAGGTTTTCTATATGGGATGTATTGTTAACCTTTACAGAACCTATGATCTTAATCACCAGACGAAACGCGAAAGTATAACACTGTCAGTTTAAACTAGCCTTCTATGAATCCTGTTACCTCCCAGGATTAGCACGCCCAGCAGGTGCTTTCTGGCCATACCGCAATGGCCATTGCAGCATTGATTGACATCACATGAGTCGTTATTCCTTAATAGCATTTTCTAACAGATGAATTGAGTTTTTTCTTTCGGCCGTTGCTAACCGCTTAGTTAGTTAGAATTCAAACTCAGCTCCTTCACTTATTTTTAACCTTAATAAGTATACTACATCTAAACTCACTCAGACAAAGGGTTAAATTTCTTAGATACTTCAATCTGTGGATATACCGCCAAAAAATGTATGCTGCTTAAAAGTTTCAACATCCCACATTTGACTTGCAACTGCTGTCACTAAGCAAAGATTGCATAATAGAAACCAATAAGAAAGATGAAATATTGTGATGTAGCTTGGTCGCTAGTTACTTCAACAAAATCTGTCTTTTCCTCCATAACAATATCGTAATTAAAATGAATGTTCATGCGAAAATATGAGATTATTTCATATGAAGGCGGATTGCTTGTTATACACAATCGGACAGTAGATTCTAATATGAAAGCATCGTACAGTTCTAATTCATAACTCTTTAATGAACAAACAACGAATTTTGACTTACAATTAATTGGTTTTGGTATGTGGGAATGACCTTTTAAACTTCTCAGCAACGGAGGATGAAAGATGTAGTGCTTCTATTTTAAATTATCCTAGACTATAAGTGTATATACATCAATATTATAGTTATATCAGCCAATGTTATTTCTCCGTCGTATTTACACCTTAGACCATAGATTTATTAAGCACATTTATTGCTTTAAAATTGTATTATCGCTTATCATGAGCTGCAATGGTGACCATTTTCTAAAATACCTCATCTTATACTAAGTTAGTAGAAACAAATTACAAATTCTCGTCAAAATCGAATGCTGCACATGTTTCTTTTTGCTTTCTTTCCAATAGAATCGATCGCTTTCAATAAATTGATTAAATTTAATAAAAATATTCGACAACCATAAAAGTGATTTAATGGTCCTAGTTAAATATCTTACTTTTATTGACAAATAAATATCCGTCTTTCCATCCGATTTTTTTTTATTTAAAAACATTGCCCTTACTTTTGGACAACATTATCCTGTTTTACAAACATAAATTTCACGTGGACAAACACCCAGATGCGAAACAACTATCTGTGGGTCACACAAATAGTTGTCCCGTGTGGGAATCGAACCCACGACCGCCGACGCCGAAGCCAATACCTTGGCAACTGCGCCACGGAGTCATCTATTATATCGTAGGCGTGTTCGGCAAGAGTGAATAGGCTTACTGAGCTAGCGCGCTTACCATCAACGGCTGCATGTCCACTCACCATCAGGTGGGATGGCAGTCAAGCGTTTACTAGTTTCGTATAAAAAAATGTAAAGACTTTATGAATATAAAAATAGTTTCCTTTAACTCGGGTACAGAATAAATGGTGTGGTCCGTAAAACAATTTAATATCCATTGTTTTCAGTATGGTTGTTTTAAAATATACTACATACTATAATTCATTTGTTTTACTTTAATGAAAACAGTTGAAAGTTATATATTATCCTAACTGTACATTTTTCCTAATAACAATTTATAACTTAATAATCATTAGTTACGTAGAATGGTAAATAATATGTCAGGGAGTTAACTAACAACAACCGTTCTATATTTGAAATTGTTCGCTAGTTACTCATAAGGCTTCCTAGTAACTGACATGATAGTTCTAAATAAACATAACCGTTCAATCCCAAATGAGGCCGATAAGATAATGAAGGTCCATCGAAAAGTTGTGTTCAATAAATACAATATTGTCAAGGGGCCCGTTTGGGCTGAGATATCTATTTTCATTATGTTACCACAAATTTGATTTAAGCTGGACTTGTCACTTGTCAATTATTATATCGTATTTTTTTTATGTGAGAAGGTTGCAACCGAGCGAGCTGCACCTGATGTTAAGTGATACGCTCGTGACGACCGCTCATGGACATTTGCGACTCCCGTAGGATTGCAGATGCGTTGCCACCTTTTAATATAGTTGGCCCCGCCTACCTCACTCACTAGACGAAACGCAGAAGTATGACAATTCCATACGTCTGCCCATTCGTGCAACAGCCGAAGCTATTGCGTTGACCTACCACAGATAATTGATTTAATATGATACAGTGTATTCCGATATTAAAAATTTGTTTCAATAAAGATCCTAAATTTGTCATACTGATGAACTAATTCCCTCTATCTTTCCTGAGTATTCTACTACCCATTTGGTAATATGAAATGATTTTGGCGGAAATAAGCATCGTTTTTAACTATTTTTATTTGGGTATCACTGAGAACGGTTGCTTAAGCTAATGCATTGCTCTGATATTTCTTTAAAAATGTAACATTCATACATAGAAGGCCTTCCTTTCATACATAGAATCAATTTTATCATCGCACTTTTAGAAATAAAATAAAAATTAACAAAATCATGATTTTGACTTTACGCCAGAAAACGACCTAAAACGACCAAACATTTTCAACTTTTATTAAAACAAGGGCCGATTTTAGAAAGCTACATAACCTATACTTCGGTCTCTTTCTCTCCCCTCCAATCACCGCATTGGTTCTTATGTGCACAAATCTTTATTTTACGTTTCCAAAAATTTATATTTTTTTAATTAAGTCGCTATAATTCTGAAGCGTCCGAAAGTTCCGAAGTCCGTCAAAGTCATGGAATTTGAACACCCCAGTCTTGTGATTCATGTTCGTTCTTATCTCTTCTTATCGTGATGTAAAGTTTACATAACATAGTAAGTTGGGATTGGCGCGACCGCAGATAACGCTTATCACTGACCCGTTTTCGATTCTTGTACGATGTGGCGTTGTCAAAACACATTTTTTTAAATATTTCCCGTCACCGAAATCATATCAATTCTATTATTTCGTGCTCTAACTATGCGAGCGCTTAACATTCTTTTGGAAATACTGTTAAGTCTTAGAATATAATACGTAATGTCGATCTATCAACCGAGTCTTATATGAATCAAAAACCGGCCAAGTGCACGAAAGGTTCCGTACCATTTATCTGTAAAAACGGAAAAAAATTATTCGGTTTTTTAGTATTTCCTGATATAGCGGCAACAATACATCATCTTTGAAAATTGTCTAACTATCACAGTGCATCAGATACAGCCTGGTGACGGACACACAGACAGACCGCTGAGTCTTAGTGAAGTTAAAAGTGAAGTCTGAGTTTTGTGTTTGTCTTAGTGAAGTTAAAACTTAAGTCTGAGTTAAAACGACAGTGGATGTTGTGTAATGAATCCATATATATACGTATACCCACACATGTATACTTAGTGTTTTTATGTGAAAAGTGCCAAGCGAGCAGACAGTTCACCTGATGTTAAGCGAATACTGCCGCCCATGGACATATGCTACATGGGTTCCAGATGCGTTGACAACCTTTTGAAAATTGGGCTCCGGCCGCCTCAATCACCGGACGAAACGCGAAAGTATTATACTTCCACTTTACGCCGGTCTTCTGTGAGGTCGTGGTACTTAACCGGACAAGCCTGCCCATTAGTGCAACAGCAGAGGCTGCTGCGTGACCCTACCACCGTCAACGTTTACGTCGAACATGTTTTACTAGCATTTTAATGCTTTGAAATAATCATCATCCCTTTGCCCTTTTTGATGGTGAGGTCGGCACGACATGTCAATCATGTTGTAAGCGGTGTTGGCTATGTTTTTACGACCAACCGCCTGCCTGACGTGAACCCTTCTGGGAAACAAACAACCGGATCTGGAACAAACATCAGTGGGTCACACAAATACGTGTTCCGTGTGGGAATCGAACCCACGACCCCCGACGCCGAAACCAATAGCTTAGCAACGGTGCCAACAAGTCAACGAGTCTTTGAAATGTACATAACAAAATGTGTATAATTGGTACTGTCTAAATGTGGCTCAAAATGATGCCACGGACCCAAGCGCGCAGCACTTTCCCGCCTCTTTTCCGTCGTTCGTTTCGCGCCAAAAATATGAGTAGGCTCGTGACGGCCGCCATGTTGGCACATTGTGACGACATCCCCACCTACATCATATGCGTGGCGTGTCGAATAAAAATTTAGGTCACTCTCGCCACGGCCCCGATCCATTGAGAGCACACCGATCGAGTGCGTTGCTGTTTGATACATTTGTAAATAAATACGAACACGTGTTCGACACGCTTTCCCTTGTACCATCGACGAATTTGTAACACACATGCCGATGTGTGAAAAGTTCAAAGGTCACCCGCCGAACTTTAAATTTCGTATACTATACTGTACCACTTTTTAAGATGGGTGAGATAAGTTCACCATTCTTATTAACGTTACTTTACCTGAAATGATAACCTCGTTTCTACCTATGACCAGCACTTGTTTAGATGATGTGGACTGTTTACATTTACTGTTTACGTACTATTAACTGCATTACATTAAATTTGCATTCGGTCTGTATTTGTGAATTACTAAACGTAAATAAATAATTTACCATTATCTACATACGCTCTAGCGTATGACGAAGAATAACCTACAATGGAATAATCAATTGCAATAAACTTAAATCTTCAATAGCGATAAACTTAAAGCTTCAATCGAATAATCAATTGCTATAAATATTGAGTGTATGACGTCGCGTTCAATAAATCATTGAACACTGCGTAATCGATGGGAGACCTTAAAACTCTCCCCATCCAGATGCTTTTAATTAAAGCCCGTTAATGAAACGCCGTCTGTCCCTCTGTGAAATGCAACCGCTGAAAAAAAGGGGTAATCGATCCCATCGGCGGCTGCTCCATTGAAAATCTCGCACCGCGCTCAAAATTCTTGTATCGATTGCAATGCGATTTCGTTGTGTCGTATATTTTTGTTTAACACTACCGCACCTCGCATTTTTCCGTGCCTTCTACGGAATTTCGAAAAAATTTTATTCGAGTATCTCGAAGTCACACTTTAGATGCCACATGTACATGATAAAGTCCACATCTCTCGTTTGCAACGATATTAAAAAATAT